GGCGGCGGCTGCTGGTGGCCTGCGAGCTCCCCGGCCGCCCCCGCGCCCCGCGGCCCTGAGGCGGCCCGGGCCCGGCGGGAGCAGCCGGGCCATGCCGAGCAGGCCGCCTCGCCAGTTTGAAAGTACCTCTGAGCTCCCGACCGCGCTCCCTAAATGGTTGTCGCTTTCCACCTCCCACGGAGGGATGAGTTAGGCTGGAGCTGGCGCCGACGCGGGTCCCCGCGCAGAGCCCTCGGTAAGACAAGGTTGGTATCGCTCTCCCCTGCGAGGGGCACAGTCTTCCCTCCCCGTTAGGCCGGGTTGCGTCGCCGGTGGGTTCATCCTGCCCCGGTTGGCGGTGTGTGCGGGGGAAGGTGGCACCCGGGCTGGGCTGAAGTTCGGTGTCCCGCCGAGCTCGGGTGCAGGTACCGGCACTGCGAGCCCTCGCTTCGTCAAGGTGAGCTCTCTAGGAGAAGGAGAGCATCCTGCGTGCCGGCAGGGCTGCGATGGGGCCTCTGGGAGCTTTACTGCCCCAAACTGTGCTGGAGCACAAAATAATGAAGTGTCCCCATAGCCAGAGGTGGGTCCAGGACTGCCTGAGCTGTGGGGCTCAACCTCGTCTCAGCTGAGTGCCGGTGGAGGTGGGGATGCTGGGGAGTGGGATTCTCTGGTGCTCTTTATTGCATAGTTTTAAACATAAGAAATATTCTTGTGGTATACCAAGGTATTCCTTACCCTGGGGGCAGGTGGTTTGACACAGACGTGGGGGTGCTTTTATGGGGCTGGGGGCTCAAGGCTCAGGAATCTTGCTTGTTGCTGCTCACCAGGGCTTGCATCTTTTTCTCTCTTGAGGTGTGTTCACACTGTTGCTGTCTGTTGCTCGCTGGTGGGTCTTATTCTTCTTTAAATTGGTGCCAGGTTTTATTGGACATCTCTATAAAGGCTGGAACTTTTCAGTGAGCACAAGCCTGATGATGCTCTGTAGCAAGGCCAGGCTGCAGCTCTGGCGTAGGTTGGTTGGCTTCAGTGTACTTTTATTACATGGTTTGGTAGGAGGTTCAGCTAAGCCACTGCTTTAGCTCTTCTTTTATCTTCACAGAGTGATCCCTGTGGGTTCTGTCTGAGGATAGGATAACACTGAGGGCAAATATTCTCCTGAGCTCCCTGGCTCTTCCAGTCTACAAGCGCTGCCCAGAGAGGGGGAAATGCTTTGCATGCATCCCTTGGGTATTGGGCTCAATATCCAGGCTGCAGGAGGAACAGAACCGTTTCACAGAGCTGTTTCAGCTGGGCTGGGATCATGTTAGGATCTGCACTGACACGTGTAAAATCTAACCCAGTAGCTTGTTGATTGCACAGCGTTTGGTGCATAGCCTGTGCAGAGAGACCGATGTTCTGGGACAGTGCCACAGCAGTGCTGGAGATCCAGTGACCCGCTCAAGGCTGAGCTGAGCGGGCCCTGGGCAGTTGTGCTGCCTCTTATGAGAGCACAACACCCAAACGTGTGCCTGGCTGTGTCTGAGCAGAGCTCAGCCCTTTCCAGGCTGAGAACTCCTTGTCCCAGGCCCTTTGCACAGCAGCAAGAGGGGCTCTGGTGCCAGGCTGGCTTCCTGGTAGCTTTGCAGGGCTGCAGGAGAGTTTTCAAAGAGAGCCATGGGGGAAGGCTGATAGAGAATTGCCCACATTTCTTCTAAGACCTGACTTGAGCTGTTTTCTTTCTTGCAGAGAGAGCTGCTTCCTGGGTTGTATCCTGTGCTCTTCACAAGTGTGAGTGCATCGCAGCCAGCACGGAGAAGGGCTTCCTCTCGTCTTCAAGGCACTTGCCTCTGCCTCCTGTTCCCTTGTCCAAAAGAAGGAAAAGCCAGACCAAATCAGTCCATAAAGAACCTGTGCTGGTCTAAGGAGGAGGCCCTGGAGTCTCTTCACCTCTTTTTTTCCCAGGATCCTGGCTGTGGGCTGGATTTTCTGGTCTCAGCTTGAGGGGATCATTTACAGGGAATCAGGATCGCAGAATCTTTTGGTCTTGCTTTTACTTGAACCCTTTTATCCGGGAAGCTGAAGCTATCACTGCTAAAATCCCATTTTTTTTCCCAAGCATGTCAGAAAGCTGGCAGCAGCAACAGCAGCAACCACAGCAGCCGCCGCCACCGCAGCAGCACCACGCTGGGGCAGCCGCCCTCCCAGAGCACTCCATCCCTCCCAGCACTGCTGACAACCCCCTGGGCTGTGCCGTGTACGGCATCCTGCTCCAGCCGGACCCCGGACTGCAGCACCACCAGCACGCCCCCATCCAGGCTGGAGAGCCATCCCACAAGTGCGGTGTGTGTGGCCATGACCTCGCCCACCTCTCCAACCCCCATGAGCACCAGTGCTTGCCAAGCCATGACCGCTCTTTCCAGTGTACCCAGTGCCTGAAGATCTTCCACCAGGCCACCGACCTCCTCGAACACCAGTGTATCCAGGTGGAGCAGAAGCCCTTTGTGTGCGGGGTTTGCAAGATGGGTTTCTCCCTCCTGACCTCGCTGGCGCAGCACCACAATGTCCACAACGGCAACGCCATGAAGTGCTCTATCTGTGAGAAGACCTACAAGACTCCCGAGGTAGAGCATTCACAGCCTCTGGACCCCGCGGAGAAGCCCTACAGCTGCTCCATCTGTCAGAAAACCTTCAAGCACCTCTCGGAGCTGTCCCGGCACGAGCGCATCCACACGGGTGAGAAGCCGTACAAGTGCACGCTGTGTGACAAGAGCTTCAGCCAGTCCTCCCACCTGGTGCACCACAAACGGACGCACAGCTCGGAGCGGCCCTACAAGTGCACGGTGTGCGAGAAGACCTTCAAGCACCGCTCCCACCTGGTGCGCCACATGTACGCGCACTCGGGGGAGCACCTCTTCAAGTGCAACGTCTGCGAGCTGCACTTCAAGGAATCCTCGGAGCTGCTGCAGCACCCCTGCACGCCCAGCGGGGAGCGGCCCTTCCGCTGCGGGGAGTGCCAGAAGGCCTTCAAGCGTCCCTCGGACCTGCGGCAGCACGAGCGCACGCACAGCGAGGAGCGGCCCTTCAAGTGCGACCTGTGCCAGATGAGCTTCAAGCAGCAGTACGCGCTCATGCGCCACCGCCGCACGCACAAGGCCGAGGAGCGCTTCAAGTGCAACCTGTGCGAGAAGGGCTTCGTGCAGCCCTCGCACCTGGTGTACCACCAGCACGTGCACGGCATAGAGAACCTCTTCAAGTGCAACGTGTGCCAGAAAGGCTTCAACCAGTCCTCGGAACTGCTGCGGCACAAGTGCGTGCAGAACGCGGAGCGGCCCTTCAAGTGCGCGGTGTGCAACAAGTCCTACAAGCGGGCCTCGGCTCTGCAGAAGCACCAGCTGGCCCACTGCGCCGAGAAGCCGCTCAAGTGCACGCTCTGCGAGAGACGTTTCTTCTCCTCCTCGGAGTTCGTGCAGCACCGCTGCGACCCGGCCCGCGAGAAGCCCCTCAAGTGCCCCGACTGTGAAAAGCGGTTCAAGTACGCGTCGGACCTGCAGCGCCACCGGCGCGTGCACACGGGCGAGAAGCCCTACAAGTGCTCCTCCTGCGAGAAGGCCTTCAAGCAGCGCGAGCACCTCAACAAGCACCACAGCGTGCACGCCCGGGAGCAGCAGTACAAGTGCATGTGGTGCGGGGAACGGTTCCTGGACTTGGGCCTGCTGCAGGAGCACAGCGTCCAGCACACGGCCGAGGGTGCCTACCAGGTGGCTGCCTGCTTGCCATGAGCCTCCCGCCCCGCGGTGGCTTTCAGCTTGCATGGGACGCTCCTGAGCCTCAGCCTTCCCTTCCCTCTCCTCGGTTCTTGGCAACCTCCAGGGAGTGTGGGGGAAAGGGGGGGTACGGTGTGTGGGCAGGTAAACTTTCCTCTGGCCTCAGACATGCCACCTGTATCGAAGTAGCGACAGACGACGTGGACATCTCAAAGGGGTGGAAAGGAAAGGAGGGAGGTGGAGAGAGGAAACTATGCCTGCAGATGCTGGTGTTCCCCAGAATGTAGTTTGTGCTGTACCTGCAGTTCGAGTCCTGGGAGCTCAGCTGTCTGTTGCAAGCACCAGCTCTTTGCGTGCAGCTTTTTTCCCCTGCCCTGCCTGGCAGGTGGGGAGGATTGCGTGACTCTCCTTCTGGAGAGGGTTTAGGAGCAAGGCAGAGCCAACCCTCCCTTCTCCCAGGGTGTGCTGCTTGGCATAGAGATGTCAGGTTTCTGCTGCTGGGGTCTCCCAACTTGGTCCAGGCTCAGTTGAGGGCATTATTTCAGATGGTTATTGTTGATTGACTGCCCCAGCCTCCCCTGCTCTCCCTCCTTCTAGAGTGTTGAAAGGGAAAAGCCATGGGGCTTCACAGCTCCAAAAAGCACTTTGGCATTGCTGCTTTTGCAGTGGCTGGCTGTCACACACTGCAGGGGTTCTGAGTGAGCCTGCCTGCCCCCTGTCCCTGCCAGCTGCACAGGGAGCTGTAGGAAGCGCTGTGCTGCCACCAGAAAGCATGGCAAGGAGCACTGGGACAGTCTGCCTGGGAGGAGGTCATGGATTCTCCCTCTCTGGAGACATTCAGAACCCACCTAGACCTATTTCTGTGTAACCTGCTTTAGGTGACCCTAACTTAGCAGGGGGGTTGGACTAAATAATCTCCAAAGGTCCTTCCAGCCCTAACAGTTCCATGATTCTGTTACAGCATTCATACCCTGCTCCCAACCAAAAGCCTGCCATTCAAGAGCTGCTTCCCAAGGGACTTAGCCTCCTCCTGCCTTGCCTCTGTGCCCTTGAGCACCCCTTGGGCTGACAGTGGTACCTCCAGCAGGGTCAGGCAATGTCACAGCTCCAACACTAAGGGGTGAGATGAACACTACAATAACCTACAACTGCAGAGGTGTTGCCATGGCCAGTCGTAACCCACAGCGTGTGCCAGGGGCTTGGTGTCTGATTTGCTGGAGGAACCAGAGCGAGCCAGGAGAATCCTTTATGGTCTGCAGGCTCAGCTCCATGGGGAGGGCAAAGTTAGCAGTGGGTAAAGGAGAAGTCTATTTTTTCCCCTCTTGCAGGAGTCCTGTTTTATCCCTTTGCCCTTTCTTTACCTCGTCTGTATTCTTCAGGTTTTGCACACTTCTTGTAAACATCACTTAAAAATAAATCTCCCCTAGGTTGATGCAGCCTCAGGTGTTTTCCTCTACAGGAATTTGTTGGCTTCTCATGTCCAAGAGATCCCTTACATGTCAGTTAGATGCCTTGGAGGTTGAAGATGTGCCTACTAGGTTGTTCCCCAGCCTTCCCCCTCCATCTTTGGAGATAGTAAGTATCCATCTCTGGAGATGTTCAGTCCCTGGCTGGATGTGGTCCTGGACAACCTGCTGTAGTTGACCCTGTGCAAGCAAGGAGTTGGACCTGATGGTCTTCAGAGGTCCCTGCCAGCCTCAGCTCGTCTGTGGTGTTGGCTGGTGCTCTTGTGAGGTTTTGAGCAGCAGCCAGGGTGTTATCCATGTGCTGCACGAGAGATTAGGACAAGGTTAGTGACTTGTCCATAGCAAGTGTATACAGATTGCAGAGGGTGGGACTGGGCCTGCATCTCAGTTGGGGGACACTTGTCTGAAAGGTGGAGAAGGGCTTTAGTTTTCCATTTCCAGCACGGTGAGGGGAACAGGGTGCATTTTCAGGGGCTGGGACAGGGCAGTGACAGGGTAGACCCTGGGGCTGTGTCTTCTTTATGTGCAACTCTAAGGTGATTAAAACAGACTGTGTTCTCTGCTGCCCAAGGAAGAGGGACCCATGATGGTTATCTTACTTTGTGCTGCCTCAAAGATGTAGAACTTCCTACCAAGTTTTCCATCTGTGTTTCTTTTTCCTCTTTTTTTGTTTTACCTTTTTTTTTTTAAACAGTTTGTTAAAATTCATTAAAAATACTGTATAGTTTAACTTGATGTCATATAGAATCTTTTTAAAAAAAAGAGATGTGGTAACTTGGATTTTTAAAGAGCTCTTTAGTTCTAGGTAACTGGTTTTTGCTGTTTAATATGTAGTAAGTTCAGTGTATGCTTTACTGTAGGAGTAAAAGAGAGTCCAAACAAAGGAAGGCTAATCCTGTCTTTGCAGAAGGGCTTGGTGGTGATGGAGGCTCAAATGTGGGACCAGATGAGGACTGTGGCACCCATCTGAACCCATGCTCTGTTCCTGCCTTGGGTTGTGGTTCCTCTGCTCTTGCCCAGCACAGCTGCCAGGGGTTCAGTGGTCAGTGGCAGCCAGGATCAGTGCCCAGGGCTCAGAGCTTGCAGAGAGGCTTATCTTTGCTAGGAGGAGGGCGTGAGATAGGGTCAGCTGCAGCCTCCATGGGCTGTTGTGGCTCTGCTGTTTCTTTCTGAAGCAGCAGATGGGTGTTTGGAGAAATCATCAGCTGGCTGTGCCCTGCTCTCTTCCCTCCCCAGGAGCCTAGGGGAGCTGCCTGGGTGGCTGCCTGGCACTTGGAGCAGAGGAGGGTGGTGGTGAGCCCCAGACACAGCTCCACACTATGCAGAGCCATGGGGCTGCCAGATCCTGTCCCCTTGGTACAGCTGGGGACGTTGCAGGGTGTTTGTCTTCTGCTGAGCAGCTGGGAAAGCCCTGGATATCCCAGTGAGGAGCTATGACTCTGCCTAGGATGTGGCAATAGCCCTGCCTGGGTGGCTGCCTGGCACTTGGAGCAGAGGAGGGTGGTGGTGAGCCCCAGACACAGCTCCACACTATGCAGAGCCATGGGGCTGCCAGATCCTGTCCCCTTGGTACAGCTGGACACAGGGACTTTGGGGGGGTGTTTGTCTTCTGCTGAGCAGCTGGGAAAGCCCTGGATATCCCAGTGAGGAGCTATGACTCTGCCTAGGATGTGGCAATAGCCAAGCAGTGCCCTGGGCAGAGACTCATCAGGGCTGTGTGCATGAGACACCCCATGCCAGGGAGAGAGGGCAGCTTGGCAGAGATGAGCCCAGGTCCAGGTCAACAGCTGGTGAATAGATGCCTCCAGGTTCAAAAACATCATGGTGCAGGATTAGAACATCATTATTAGGGCTGGCTGTGAGTTCATGGTGACTCAGTCTTGTTTCATTTGCTGCCCTGCAATAGCCCAAATCCTGTAGAAGCCCATGGAAAACACTAAGCTGGAGCTTGTGGGTAGAGGACCTCTGTGGGGTGGGCACTGAGTGGCCACAGAGATCTTTGGGTATATTTTTATAGGAGCATTTTCTAGTTGGAAGCAGCAGTGCTGCCTACAGTGGTGGGGGCAGCAGGTCCATCTCCATTGCTGTGCCTTTAGGTGTTTTGTCCCGTGAGGTGGGAGGAGGTGGAAGCAGCAGGAGGCACAGAGTGTCAGGAGCACTGAGCTGCTGCATGGGGAGGCACGGGCTGGCCTGGCAGCTGATGTCCCTGGGGCATCACACTGCAGGGCTCTCTGCTGACTGCTGCTGTTTGCTTTTCAAACCAAAGAGCAGCTGGGGCCAAAGCCCTTTGGGGAGTAAACCATGTCTCTGCTCTGTACCTGTTGCACTTCACTTCTGGTGTTTATTTCAAGCAACTTTCAGGCTCCTGCTTCTGCTTGGCCTCTTGCGTTCCTCGCTGCCCTGCAGCACCTCAAACAGTTGCTGTGCTGGAGCTGGTGTGCCACCAGCCCTGTGGCCAGTGCTCGAGGCAGCTCAAGACCTGGTTGCAGCCCACCTGAGGATGCTGAGGGGCTGGGTAGCAGGGGTCCCTCCCAAAGGGTGGTTCTCCTTGGCAGGCAGTCTGAGCATAGAATGCTGCTGAGGAGGTGGAGAGGAGGGTTAGGTTGGCCAAAGGTGTGTGGGTGTTCTGCAGGTCCTAAGTCCTGCTCTCTATGGCTGCTGTTCCTCTGGCTCCTGGGTCCAGGAAAAGGTAATCTGTAACCTGGACTTTTACTGATCTTCACTTCCCCTGATCCTACTCACAGGATGCCTTTAGCTGTCTCAGCCCCTTCCCTTCCACAGCTTATACTTTCAGAAGACATTCTCAGCTTCTTTTCTTTGTTCAGTTCTTTATTTATAAGCAGTTGTTTGTTTTTCATTCCTTCTTCCATAGTGAATGAGAAGTCTCTTCCTTCCTTCCTTTCCACCTCCCTCTGCTCTCCCCAGCCCCAAATTCCTTTCCCAGGCTGAGGCTGGATCCTGGTGGTACCAAACCACTGATGGTGAGATCAGGTGTTTAGGACCTGAGTCTTGCTGGAATCCAGTGGGTGCTTCTGGTCCTTCCCCACAGCAGGCCATCCATTTCACTGGGCAGGGGCAATGCCTGTGACCTGGCAGCTTGGCGTGGGAGTCTGCCCATGCTCTGACAAGTGAATCCAAGCCAGGACCAAGAGCCAGAGCCGAGCTGTAGGAAATGGGGACTGGGGTGGGAGCTGCCATTTCCATCTCCAAGGCTGGGGATTAAGTCTGTGAAGGACTGTCAGACATTCCTGGGGAGATGTCATGGCACTGGGGTGGGCTCAGGCAGTGCAGTTGGTTCCCCTGGGAGTGCTGTGGAGCAGCTTGAGTGCTTCAAGCTGAGCTGAGTTAGCTGTGGCAGGGACACCCCTGGGACCATGGGGATGCTCAGGTGGCCATGCCAACTCTCCAGTGAGCAGGTGCCATCTCTGCCGTCTGGGTGGGAAGATGTTCATGCTCTGGTCTTGGGGCCCATGTGCTGGACTGGGGGACAAAGGGGAAAGCATCCTCTGACAGAGTTTTGGGACCATCTCTGGGCACTCAAGCCTGCCCTTACAGGGAGAAGAGGAGGGAGGAGAACCCTTTCTGCACTTCCCTTGGGTATTTACCATCAAGTCCAGGCTGCAGCTAAAGCCTGACCATTAAAAAATAGGCAAAACCCTCTTATTATACTTCAGAATTTGACTCTTTCTCCATTGGGTGGTGAGTTCACCTGTGGGAAGGTTCCTGTGCATGCAGGTGAAATGCTGAGATTCATAAGGGCAGGCCAGTGAGGTCTGGGGCTGGCAGCCAGGCCCAGGTGAGCACCCAGCTTCTCCCCAGCTGCCCGGCTTCCTCCACAGCAGCTCCTGGCAGCTGCCTCTGGCACTTTCTGGGTATGAAGATGCTGCTCTCACAGTGTGCCTGGGATGCTCCGTGGGGAGAGCAGGACCACAGGTGGGAGCTGGGCCGTGGGCTTGTTTCTGAGTGCCTCCAAGCCGTGGATCTAAGGGACTTCATGGTCAGTGAGATTCTTGGGCGCCTCCCAACCTGTGGTCATGACTCCGGTAGAGTTCCCGGGGCTGTTGGAGGTCACAGCCAAGGTTGCTGAGGTTTGTGTGGCTTGCAGTGCCTTTAACACTGCTCTCCATGTGTTTCTAAGATGATACTCCATGTATGTGTGTATATATATTGTAATAACACATCCCGCTCTTCTGTGTGAGTGTCAAATGGTTTTGCTTTACTAATAAATTTATAGTTATTTATACCTTCCTGTGGGTGTGTAAGGTTTCTGGAGCAGAGGCCATGTGCCAAGCACTGCCTCCTCATCTGTCTTTGTGCTCTGTCTGGCTCTGCTTGGGGTTTTTTTCATGTTTTTTTTTTTTTTTCTTTCTTTCCCCTGAACTTTTTTGAAGTAGAATTGATGGTTCATCTTCCTGGTAAGCAGAAGATGCAGAGTACAAGCAGGCTCCCAGAGGCTGAAAGCAAACACAAGCAGAGTATGCTGAGTGGTTTTGCCCCTGCTAGAATTGGAATGATCCCTCCCCAGGGCAAAACTCCTCCCTGGGAGCTTCAGGGCAGGAGCAGGCAGGAGTCTCTTCCTGCCAGAAGGGAGCAGCTGTTCAGTGGGTAGAAGCTGCTGCATGTTGTGCTCTGCAATCCCAGCCCCACATAAAACTGTCCAAGCTTTTCCTGAGGGTTTGTTTTGCATCCTCCATCCTGTGATAGGAAGAGAGGAGCCTGCTACAGAGCTGCTGGGGCCGGGCACAACGGGTCCTTGTTGCCCACCAGGATGGAGACACCTATGGAGCCAGGGAAGGAGGAAGCAGGGCAGGGAGCTCTGGGCATGCAGAAACAGGCTGGACATGGGGCACAGAATCCATGCTGGCACCTGGATTCCAGGGTGTCATTGTGGCCAAGATTAGGGGCAGTGGGAAAGGCTGGCAGTCGTGCAGGGCTGGAGGTAAACGGATCAAGCAGCAATTGGCAGGCTCAGCAAGGGGAGGCTTAGCCCAACCCAGCACAGATTTGCTGTGGTTGCTCAGGAGCTGGGGCAGAGCTGTGGGTGGAGCACCCTTGGCACATCACCTTGTGTCACCCCACGGGGTTTCAGCAGCTCCACTGCTGCTCCTCTGCACATCCCTGCACATGGGTGAGACGAGTTCCTTCCCCACAGCGCTGCTGGTGAGTGCCTGGGGGAGCTTTGGTGGCTCCAGAGATTTTGAGGGTGCTCAAACCTGTTTGATTTTGGGTTTTTTTTGCAGCACCCTGCACCAAAGCCAGGCTGGCTGCTGGAAGCGAGGGCACTCAGGACAGCTGGGTGCCAGTAATCCCATTTGCAGGCAGCACAGGGCTAATCCTCGCAGAGCCCTGAGCCGATTGAGGTGGGCTGGGGGGCAGTGGCAGTGAGCTGCAGTGGCCGAGGGAGCCCACGCGTCCCAGGGTGGCTTCCCAGGGAGGCAGTGCTGAGCCTGCGGGGGTAAGTGGCAGCGATGGAAGCGAGGGATGTGGCTGGGAGCTTTGCAGGGCCACCTCTCCCTTCACAGGGGGGTTTGGTGATCCAAAAGCCGGGGAATGAGCTGTGCCGGTCCATCGGGAGTGATGCTGCGAGGGCTGGGTGATGTGGAGGTTTGATCAGCTGCTGGGAGGGAAGGAAAGCACGATGCTCCCTGCTCCAAATGAGGCTGTGGGTCTGTGCCCTTCTTGCTCTTAGAAATGAGACTAAGGGCCTTTGCTGGCTGGCAAAAGGAGCTGCCACAACAGGTGGTGGCACCGCTGGGTGCCTGCAATGCAGCAGGATGCATAAAGTGCCAACTCTGTCATGTCATTGATGGCAAATCCTGCCTACTTATTCCTGTTTCTTTCAGCAACCAGTTTTGTGGGGACCCACAAATGTTTCTGCCCATTTCTTGTTCAGATCTGGCAGCGGAACAGCCTTTGACCTCCCCTTTCTTTCCCAGACCAAGGACAGGGATATGGTCCAGGCTTTTACAGCTGCACAAGCTCATGTGGAGGGAGGAGGAGCCCTTGGCTGACAAGGGGGGCTCGCTGCAGCCTCAGGAAGCTTTCTCTAGGATTGTTTGGGCTCAACTGTGCACAGGGACCCTGGGCTTCTTTGGGATCTGTGAGAATGCCAAAGCTTGGGGGGATGCGCCTCTGCTGCAGACACTGGCAGCTTTTCCTTGCTGTTCCCAGGACATTCACAGCTCCTTAATCCCTTGTACCCAGTGAGAGATGCAAGGTAATTTAATTGGTTTCTGGCTGTCAGGCCTCAGGAGGTGTTTTACAGCTGCTCTGTCCAGCTGTGGGGTGTGGGGGTCTCTGGGAGAGTGCATGGGAGAGGGCTGAGGACACACATCACCCTTCCTGCAAACCCCAGCCTAGGTTTAAGGAGCCAGGCTTTGGAGAGCCCCCAGTGAGCCATCTCATGATGTCCTGCATGCCTGAAAGCTGCATGAGGGGTTAATTCAAAGAGCCCAGTGCTGAGCAGCTTCCAGCCTCTACCTGCTGCATGTGGGACTGGGATTGAAACTCATGCGCAGTCTCCTGGCCGGGCTGGAAGGAGCTGAGGGATTTTCTTTCTTTTGCCCTTCTCAGGTATCCCCTGGGGGCTGTCTGAGGTGCTCCTGAGCCCTTCATTTTGGGCAGAGTGGGGTACTATAGAGGGGCATTTTGGGCAGAGCACAGCCCTTCAGAGGAGCAACAGCAAGTGACACCCCCAGTCTGAGCTGGATGAGAGCCCCCAGCTCTCATCATTCAGTACCTAAGAAGGGGAATGTGCAGCATCATTTGGCTCTCTGGTGCTGTATCCCACCCTGGAGCTGCTTCACAAAGGGAAGGAAGGGACCCAAAAAGACCAAGCAGCCAGAGCTTGGACAGCTGAATCCCTGCTCTGCAACATCTTACTTTTACCTGCCCTATCGACATCGCCCAGCCAGTGCTGGATGCCTTTGCTGCCCTTGCCAGAGCCCCAGCAGGTACCTGTCCCAGCAGCCACCATGTCCCTGGGGTGTGGCTGACAGGTGGTGGAGCAGAGTTGTTTTGTGGGGGCAGAAAGAGGGGATGTGTGTGCTGTGACATGAACTTCCACATAAAAAATTCTGTTCAAATTACTGCTCAGCTTCCCTCAAATGAAAAATGATGGGGGGAGAGTAGAGGACCCTGAGCAGAGCATCACAGTTTCTGTGATCTATCTGCAATGGCTTCCTAGTCAGGACAGGTTGTGAAAATAAAACATCTAAATGAGGAGCTACCTTCAGGAAAAGCAAGTTTAACAGAGATGGTGAGAATAAAATAGGGCCTTAATTTTGCTCACAATGGCAGTGAGGGGTGAGGGGTTGAGCTGGGTTTGCTCTGGCTGTGCTGCAGTGCCGTGTCTCCCAAGCAGGACCTGGAAACAGAAGGACACCAAGGACCTTCTTGGGCTGCTCAGGAGACAGCCCAGTGAGCAGCTGGCATTCCCTGGGCAGTGGGCACCCCTGCTGCTGGGCTCCTGCCAGCTGGAGACCCCTGGGCACGGCCCGCAGCCAGCGGGATGATGGGCTGGATTGACCGGGTGGTGCCCCAGCCCCCGGTGCCCCATGTGACAGAGGAGACCCCTGTGCGGGAGCTGCAGCCAGCTAAGGTGAGCAGGGAGCCAGCCTGGGGGTGATGGTGACACCATGAGCATGATGAGAGGTGTCTGGTGCCCCTGCATCCATCCCCAGCACTGCAACAACCCCAGGAGGGAAGGGGCTGGGATGCATTCCTACTCTGAGCTGCTGGGAAGCAGCAGGAGGATGGGGAGTCCCTGGGGTTTGCAGCCACCTTTGAACAGGGACAGTGTCCCCTGTTCTCTGACACCTCCTGCCTTCTGTCCTGAAGGCACCCCCAGGAAAGACCGGTGGCCCCACAGATGCTGCTGAGCGGGCACACACTGAGGGTAAGCCCCACACTGGCTCAGGCTGCACATCAGTGCTCCTTTACCCTCCTGTCCCTCTCCTGCCTGGCCTCCTGGGGGCTGGCAGAGTGGTGATAGGAGCCTGCCTTATTTTCTCCTGCTGCTATTGAAGAAACGGAAAAGAAAGTGGCCTTTGTGGTTTCTGAGGACTCGAGTTCTGTGTTTGACAGGTACGGCTCCTGCACCCTTTGTGCAGCATGATTTGCTTGGGATTTTGCTTTTTCTTGGGGGCTGGATGCCTTGGATGGCATTCCCAGCTTGACTCACACCCTTCCCTGGCAGTGTGGGGAGCAGTGTGCTCTCCTGGCTCTCCCATGGGCTGGAGAAGGTGATTCCCCAGCCAGCCCCAGCCCCAGGGCTGCAGGCACTCGGGAAGAGCTTCGAGACAAGCATCGACATTGCTGATGAGGTAGGAGACAGATCTGGGAAATGAATTTGGTGTAATTGAGCTTCTGCCTCTTTTTACCTTTTCTTCTTTTTTCCTTCTTATCACTTTCCCAGTGCTAACTGGGAGCACTAAACCTGCCCTGCATGGGTTTCTACCTTCACTCATCCCTGGGGAAAGGGCAGGTTTCCCTCCCCACTCAGTGGGGTGATCCCTCTCTTGGGCTGTCAGGTTTTCAGACAATATGTTTGGCTTTTCAGACAGAGGTCCAGGTCCTTGGGGATGAGGATGACGATGGCCTGGGTAAGGAGAGCTGGGAGTTTGTAGCTTGCAGCATCCTGGGACTCCCACATCCCACCTCCCTGGCTGGTGACTCCGGCACTATTGTCCCCTTTTGCTGGCTGATGGGGGCACCTAGAGCTCCCAGCAGTGTGGATTCCCCATGCCCACAGCAGCGCTCTCCTTGCAGAGATAACTCCCTTCGATGCTGAGGAGGATGTCTCCGAGGGCGAGCCGGAGATTGCCCCGGAGCAGTGGTGGGTGCCAGCGAGGCTGGGGGTATGCGGGAGGGCAGGAGGGCGCAGGATGAGCTCCCCGAGCGCGGCACTCTCCCCGCAGGACAGGAAAACGGGTGCTCAGCTGGCTCTCACAGGGCTTCGAGAGGATTTTGCCGCAGCCAGAAGGGATGAAAAAGCCGGAGGTGAGCACTGCCTAGCTCGGGAAGAGCGGGGGCTGCCGGGCAGAGGTGACAGTGGGGCGAGCTCCCTGCCTTCATCCTCCTGCACACCCCAGCTGCGACCTTGGGGAGGAAAACCCAAGGTAATTCCGCAGAGCAAAAAGAGATCTCTGGGTGCTGTCCCGGTTCTCCTCAACCTTGATGCGGGGAGGACCCTTCATTTGGGCCTGATGGGCTGGTGTCAGCATCGCTGATGTCTGGGTTAGCTGGTTGTTGTCACAGCAGTGGGGCTGAAACCAGAGCGGGTGGTGTGTGGGGCCGAGCATGTGGGGGCTGAGCGTGTGGGGCCAAGCATGTGGGGCTGAGCGTGTGGGGCCGAGTGTGTGGGGCTGAGTGTGTGGGGCCCCTTGCGGTGGGGACATGTCCACCTGGGGTGGCCTGAGGCCACAGGCAGTGCTTTGTCACGTCCATCCGTCCCTCTGTCCCTCTGCAGACAGAGCCGAAGGAGAGGAGCGAAGGCGCGGTGGAAGGTGAGCGATCCGATCCGCGACTCCCGGCCGGGCCGGCCTCGCCTCGTCTTGCCTCCATGGCCAGCATTCCCTCAGTGCCGGGAGGGGTGGGCACACGAGTCCCAGGGTTGGGGACACAGGTCCTGCCACCACGGCATGGACCCTGCACAGCTCCTGTCCCCATGTTCCCATGTCCTCGCCCCAGGCAGGCTGCCAGGGAAGCCCATGAAGCCTGTCCCTCTGCAGGAGGTGACCCTTCCTGGCTTGCTCCACTTCCCAACGATTTATGACAGCTCCATTGCCAATCCTTCTTCTTTTCAATAAACCTGAGCAGGCACAGAAGGGACTAAAACCCAGGCGAAGTCGAAATGCAGCGCTCCGGGCCCTCAGAGCGCCACAGCAGCAGCCCAGGGCCAGCTGGAGCCGGGGGCTGCCCTGAGCCCTCAGACCGCGGCTGCGGATGCCACCAGGTAACCAGGGTGGCACCTTCTGCAGGGCCCTGGTGACCACAGGGACGGCTGGTATGGGAGCAAAGGGTCTGGCTGCCAGCCTACCAGGGGTTTCTTGTCTCCAGGATGTTCAGCTGGTTTGTGCAGGGGCTGGAGAAGGTGATGCCACAGCCGGTGACCAGGGAGAAGCAGGACACACAGGTGGGCTGTCTGATGGATAGGGAAAGAGCACGGGAACACCACATCCCTCACGAGCAGGGCATCCCCAGCCCTGCAGATGTCACTAGATCAGTGCTGGGATCTGCTGTGATTTGGGCTTTCACCAAGTTTGTCAAGAGAACAAGTCCCCATGATCTGCTTAGCTGATGAAAGCCAGTTTTTGGCTTCTAAGCAGCAGGAGATCCTGTAGAATGTGCTTTCTTTCCTTGCCTTTCTGTGCAGCACTGGCTGGTGTCCAGGCTCTGGCATCTCATGCAGGTGTGGTCCCAGCTCTAAGGAGAAGCAGCAGCAGCTTTATATAGCTCTCCTTTCCTTCCCTGTGCCCAGGCAAACTCACTTATGTGGTCCAGCTCTGCACCATTGTGTGAGATGCTCGTGCCTGTGGCCACACCATCCAACTTGCCACAAAAATGGGATATTTAGGGTAAAAGGACTAGATGTACTGAAAATGGGGCATTAAGGGTACAAATTAAGGGTTACTGAAAATGAGCAGTGTCTCATTGTTCCCTTCTCCTCTTGACAGGGAGTGGCCACAGCAACCTTGGGTCCTGTGGAACAAAGTAAGTGATGGATCCATTTCTCCATGATGGTTTGACTGCCAAGGTCTTTATTGGCTTGGGTTACTGGGAGGAGGGGTCACTGGCATCTTTATCCCCTGGTCTGCCCTGGGTGCCAGCTCAGGAGCCCCTGGAATTGCCCAGAGAAGCCATGGGAGGTTGTTGACACTTGAGAAGAGGGAGCTGCTGCTGAGCTGTGGCGTGGGCTTGGTAAAACGCAGGCTGAGGGAGTCTCCAAGTGCAGCATCCCAGGATCCCAAAATCCTCAGGTTCTGGGTTTTGAGGTTAGTGCTGATATCAAGGTCTGTCCTGAGCCGTGCTGGAGCTGGAGGGATTTGATTGAAGAATTGCAAGGGAATTCAAACCTGCTGCATCCTTTGTCTCCTTTGCTGTTTGCCAAGCCTGGTGTGAGATGTCTAGGAAGGTACCCCAGGAAAACAAAATGCTGGGATTAGATGTCTTAGAATGGAATCTGCATGGCTGTGGGAAAGCCTGCAGGGTTCACACTGCTGTGTGCCTGTGGAGGGCATCAAGCACCACCTCTGCAGGCAGGGGGGGCTTGGCTCCCCACTGCAGCCACTTTGGGGGATGCTGGACAAAATGCAGGGCCACAGCTGCCTCTGTGGATAGTGTGGGCAGGGTTACACACCCCTGTGCAAGTGCTGTGCCTTGAAAGGAGTGGCTGGTTGGGCTGTGGGAGCTGCTGATGAGAGGAGGCACAGTTGAGGCACATGGAAAATGCACACCCCAGGGATATGCTGGGAAGTTGCTCCTGCAGGCCAACAGCCCCTTGGCAGAACCTCAAAACCTGGGCTAAGGCATTTCTCCATGTGTTTGTACAAACTGCAGGCCTGTGTGCTGCCATGGGCCTCAGAAAGGGGCAAAGCCAGGGATGCTGCTGCCTGTGCTGGGCGAGCACAGCCCTGGTGCCCAGCTGGCTTTGGTGCCTCGAGGCATCTCCAGGTCACTTAACCCTGCCCAAGGAAGGGAATGATTGGGTCAAGCAAGAGATCTGCCCTGGCACCAAACTGCCAGCACGCTCATTAATGTTTTCCTTCTCCTTTTGTTTCAGGGGGCAAAGGGGCTTAGCGCCTCTGAAACAAACGGAAAACGAAGACTGTGGCAAGCCAGCCCTTCCCACATCCAAATGAGACCAACCTGAGGAGAAAGCACAGCTGGGGAGGAAAAGCAAAGGGGAATCTGCAAATGGTGTCTAGCTCCTTCCCAGCTGGGGCAGTGGGGACCCAAGGCTGGCACAGAGACTCAGTCCCAGGGCTGTCCCACTTGGCTCCCTCTTTGCTCTGGGAATTGGAGCTGCTGGTTTTGCAGGATGGTGTCTATGAGGTGGGAACTATAATTTACAGGATGGTAGAAAAGCATCACTCAGGACACCTCAGTGGCAGAAAGCCTCTTGCTGCAGTCTCCCAGCACTCCTGGCCCTCTCAATGCGCCCACAACATCTGAATATTCACCCTGAAACCCCCAGCTGAAGTCTCCAGGCTTATTTGAGTCAACTTCTGCCTCTGAGGTGTAATGTCATAAACGTTAGTATTTACCACATTTTCATATAATGTATCCAAAAGCCATGGTGTGCTTTAAAAGCCATTTCCCTGATTGCTGTCCCATGTTTTAATTAATGGAGATCCAGAGGGAATGGGCTAAAGGCACTGTGGACACCATGGGGTGGGTAAATAAGCCACAGATACAACACTGCATGGGTTTCCTGCCTTTCTGTAGTTCAGTTTGCACGTTTCCTATTAGCTTTGCTGTGGACATGTAAGTTTTGCTGTCAAGCAGACCTCAAAATAAACTGGTTTTACAGTGAGCGGATGTGCTTCCTCCTCCTGTTTCTCTGGTGTGAGCCTGACGTGGTAGGATGGGTACCCCTGGGACATGGAGAGGGCTCCTCATGGGTCAGACTCCTCACTTTGCAGCTGCCTACAGCCCCCAGTAACCTGCTGTGGGTTTTACCCCAGAGATTCTGGGAAGTGCTGTGGGATGTTCCTTGCCTGGGAGAATGATCAGAGCGGACATGGTGCTTGAGTGCTGTGATGTGGGCTCTGGGTTGGGTCTTGCAGACCCAGCACCCTTGGGCTGTGCTAGGACAGAAATTCACTGGGGGATCACAAGGGGAAAGGCTTTGGGCTCTTCCAGATGGCAAGGAGGGACAAAATGTGGCCTGGAGATGGGCCAGGACACTGCTGGTGGAGGAGGCTACATGTGCAGGGCAGCCAGCACTCATCTGTGTGCAGAGGACTGTAGCTTTCATAGAATCACAGCATGCTTTGGGTTGGCAGGGCCCTTAAAGCTAAACCAGTTCCACTCCCCCTGCTATGGGCAGGGACATTGACCAGCTTGCTCAAAGCCTTCATGGGGTTTTGGCTCTGCTTGGCAGAAAATGGTGAATTTTCTTCTTCCTTCTGGTAAAGGAGCCCAAGGCACCATGGCAGCCCAGCTCAGGGGTGACACTGTTGAGTCAGGGATAGAAAGAAAGACTCCAGTCTTCAGGTGGATCAAAAAGCCCCTTTAATGAAAGTAGTAGGTCTTTTTATAATGTGACTCATTAAGGTGATACTTGATTGGTCACAAAGTAGAAACATCTCACACTATTGGTGTACTATGAATAGCACACTGTGGAGAACCACAACTATAAACAATGGTTACAGAAAGAGAGATAATAATTGTTTTAATTCTTTTCCTCTAAGATTCCCAGGCCCAGCCTGGGAGAAATGATCACTGTTCTTTCTTCGACTGAACTGAGAATATCAACACAGGGCAGCAGGGCTGCCCAGCTCTGTGCAGGCTGAGAGCTGCTTCAGCACTGCCCCACTGAGCACAGCAAACCTGGGACCTGCCCTGGCCTCTGGAGAATGTGCTACTGTCCATTCACCTCCCTTTCCCCATTGCTGTTTCAGTTCCTGTGGTCCCTGCGGGGCAGGAGGAAACCCATCTCATCCTGCAAGAGATTGATGATGGCCAGGTTAACGAAGAGATGCCAGCCTGGGCTCACGAGGCTGAGCTGCAGGCAGATGCTCGTTCCCTTCCCACCATAGAGGAGGAACCTCAGGAAGAAGAAACCAGGTAGGGGAAGGGAGATGCTCTTGATGGGCAGGTCTGTGTGTTCTCCAGCCACCAGTGTGGTGGCCATGGGAGGGGACAAGCCTGCCCCTGGGCATCCATCCTTGCCAGTGCTGGGGCTAGAGCTGGTGGCCAAGGTGTGTTTCCAAAAAAGGGAGGCATCCCCCAGTAGGATCCAAAAGGTGCTTGGTCAAATGTCTATTTCTTCTGGTGTCTCAGTTTTGGTTAGGGCAGGCAGTGGCAGAGCCATGAGAACAATGCTTACAGTGCCCTGCAGAGGACAGGTGAGGGAGGCTCTGCTCAGGCTCCTGTAAGAAAAATTTGGCCCCAGGGCAAGAGGCCTTGGCCCTTATTCCAAGCAGTGTGCATGCAGCTGGAATGCCATTCAGAAATGGAAGCTGTCTCTGTAAAATTTACCCTTGTTTCTGCCATAGAAACCCTCCTGGGGTCTGCCCAAGGGCTGGGCAGTTGCTCAGAGCCAGCAGTGAGCTGTGCAGCAGCAGGGGGATGAGAGGGGTCCACGCTTGCTCACAGAGGGTTTCTGAGCCCCAAAATGCTCCCTGAGCCAGCACACCCGGGTGAGCACAGCAGTTCCCCCCCACACGGCAGTGCTCAGCTCTCCTCAGCACAAGGGGAGCCCAGGGCCTCAGCAGAGCTCAGCCAGAAACCAGGGGACACACAGAGCTCCTCGTGTCACACACACCTGGGGGCTTCAGCTAAGGAGTTTCTCCTTTCCAGACTGTGCTTGTGCTCCCCAAACACTACCAGGGGGGATGAGGAAAAGCCGAAGGAGGAGGAGAAAGAGCAGGAAGAGAGGAAGAAAGAGGAAGAGGAAAGGAAGAAAGAAGAGGAGGAGAGGAAAAAAGAGGAAGAGGAGATGAAGCAAGAAGAGGACAGGAAAGAGAAGGAAGAAGAGAGGAATAAAGAGGAGGAGGACAGGAAAAAAGAGGAAGAGGAGAGGAAGATAGAGGAAGATGACAGGAAAAATGAGGAGGAGGAGATGAAGCAAGAGGAGGAGGAGAGGAAAAAAGAGGAAGAGGATAGGAAGAAAGAGAAGAACAAGAACAGGGAAAATGAGGAAGAGGAGAGGAAGATAGAGGAGGAGGAGAGGAAGACAGAGGAAGAAGAGAGGAAGATAGAGGAGGAGGACAGGAAGAAAGAGGAAGAGGAGGGGAAGATAAAGGAGGAGGACAGGAAGAAAGAGGAAGAGGAGAAGAAGAAGACAGAGGAGGAGGACAGGGAAAAGGAGGAAGAGGAGAGGAAGACAGAGGAAGAAGAGAGGAAGATAGAGGAAGAGGAGAAGAAGAAGACAGAGGAGGAGGACAGGGAAAAGGAGGAAGAGGAGAGGAAGACAGAGGAGGAGGACAGGAAGAAAGAGGAAGAGAAGAAGACAGAGGAGGAGGACAGGGAAAAGGAGGAAGAGGAGAGGAAGATAGAGGAGGACAGGAAGGAAGAGGAGAGGAAGGAGGAGTTGAAGAAGAAAGAGGAGAAGAGGAAGAAGGAGGAGGTGAAGGAGAAAGAGGAGAAGAGGAAGGAGGAGAAGAGGAAGAAAGAGAAGGAGAGGAAAAAAGAGAAGGAGAAGAAGAAAGAGGAAAAGAGGAAAGAGGAAGATAAGAAAGAGGAGGAGCAGGAGGCGAGTGCAGAGTGAGTGGCTCCAGTTGCCTTTAGGGCTTTGTTGGAAACGAGCGTGATTACAGCTTTTGTTTCCAGTGCTTTCACCAGCTGGAGAGGCTGAAACACCCACGGCAGAGCAGAGCTCCCAGCCTGGCAGGCGGCTGGGCAGGGATGGTGTGCTGGGGATGGAATGGTGTTCTGGGCAGGGATGGGTGTGCTGGGGAGGGATGGCAGAGCTGGGCAGGGATGGGTGAGCTGGGCAGGGGATGGTGAGCTGGGCAGGGATGGGTGAGCTGGGCAGGGAATGGTGAGCTGGGCAGGGATGGTGAGCTGGGCAGGGATGGCAGGCGGGAGGGATGCTTTGGCAAACCGGCTCACCCCAGGGCTCGCTGCTGACGCGGCACCTGGTGACAGGAGCGTCTCCTGGTGACACGGGCTCCATCTCCATCGCGGCCGCCCGTGGCAACCGCAGCCCCTCCTGCGCCTGGGCGGGAGGCGGGAGCAGCCAGCTCCGGGAGACGGGCCGTGCTATTCAAACCATGTCCATTAATTCAGGGCACTCGGGATTATTTTGAGTGTTACAGAGCTGAATGTAAAGACAGGATTATGTGTTGTGTCTGCAAATGCTGCTTCATCCAAGTAGGTACAATTTTATATTTTTTCCTGTTGTAGAAAATAGCAGAGTTCTTGTGGAAGGTGGTGCCTTTGGTCTGGATGGTATTGGGAGACATCTTTCTGCTCAGATTAGTAGTTTGCTCTGATTTCACATGAGATAAACATTTAGGGATTTATTACCTAGCACTACAACATTATTCTGTGTTAATTCCTCTAAAGTAGCTAGATTTTCAGGAAGAAGCTGAAAACACATGATTACTCACTGTCAAACCCATATGTTTGTATTTCATCAAAATCTGTTCCTGGAGCTTCACTGTAGAAACTTGAGCTTCAGTTGTGGGGTGAATGAGTTGCTACTCCATCCTTCAATGTGTTTGTTTATTGGGAAAAGAGAGAGACCAACAGGTTTTCTAGTTTAGGATGGAAAGATTTGTGATCACATTTGAAGGGAGCATAATTTCAAATATGAAGGGGGGAATTTTTTAAAAATAACAAAACAAATATTTTCATGCATTTAGCTGTCTCAAAATTCCTTTCATTATCCCAAATCTCTGCTTTGCATTTCTTGCCAGGAAAGAGCAAATCAAGAGGTAAATGCAAAGAGCAACAGTTGAGGTGCTTTTATTTCAGTTATGAAGTTATATTAAAGCAATAAAATCAGTCTTGAGAGCCCCTTTGTCAGAATGGTGGAGCTGAGGCCTGTGCTTGCTCAGGAAGGAAAATGAGAATTATGTGTCCTGGTGGTGTCTTGCACAGACAAACATGGGATTTGAATAGTGCTTGTGGGAAAGCCTTGCCTGGAAATTGTGTTTTGGCTTTTTATTTGGCCCATTTTAATTATATGAGAAATGATGCACAGGAGGAGAAACATTCTGCCTGGATCTTTCTGCCTCTGCAGTTTTTGCTTATGGCCATTCAATGCCCTGGTTTTTTATGCACCTCTCACCTGGTCTCCCAGGCAGTATTTTGTCTCTCCCTTCCAGACCCCTGCTGCAGCCTGCTTGTCTCCCTGCTGATGAGGGTGTGGATGAAGCCTGCCTTGCCCAGGAGGCCCTCAGGGCTGAGCAGCTGGAGGAAGCTGAGATAAGTAATCTCCAAGGTGCCCTTGTGCAGGTACGGCACCGCTCCCTGCTCGGGCTGCCTGCAACGAGCTCTTGCTGCCCTGCAAGTGCTGGGGCTCAGGGCTTCTCTGAGGGGGTGCAGGGCCCTGGGAGGAGCAGGCTGGGCACAGGACATGTTGCCACCAGGGTGTCCCCACCCCTGCAGCTGGGGCAGCAGAAGTAGCTGTGGGTGGAGGGAAGGCTCCTCTCACGCTCCAGAGCGGGCACTGAACAAGCTGACAGTCTGGCGAGTAGCAGGGATATGGGGCAGCCAGTCAAGCTGCAAAGTCTGCTCTTTTACTGACAGAACAGGCTTTTTCTCCTTAAAATGGCTTTTTTTTTTTTTTTTCATTTTGAAGGTGGAAGAGGAGACAGCTGAAGCTCCCAAAACTGATGCTGAAGGTACAAGCTGTAGCAGTGTGATGCCAGGCTGGGATGGAGTGAAGCAGGGGATGCAATGCCTGGTGGGGGGAGAATCCAGCTTCTCCTTTCCTGCTGGCAGGGAGCAGGGAGCTGACTGCTCTGCAGCATGGGCCTGGGCTGTTCACTGGGGTAAAACATCCTGTGGGCACAGCACCATGGCAATATTGGCATTGTCTGGAGCTAGCTCTGAATGTACAATGCTTAGTCCTGTTGATTCAGCAATCCCTGATGTGAAATAAGGGATTCTCCTTCAGCTGGAGGATGTGCAGGGATAAAAATTATTTTCTCTACCACTTTTCTCCCTTTGGGAAATAACCAGTAGCATAAAACACCTTTTAATATAATGTTTTAGGAAGCAATGGTTGGTAATGAAAATTAGGTGGCGAGTTCCCATTGCAGCCTGACTGAGCAAAGGCACATCCTGGCAAAACTCCACTGGCATCAGGAAGTTGCACAGGGAATGGCTTGCCCTCACCCCTGAGATTCTCTGCATGCAGCCCTTGCCCCTCTGGGCAATGATGCTAGAAAATGCTGATTTGTCAGGAACTATAATGATAGGACAAGGAGTAATGAGTTCAAATTGAAGGAGGGAGAATTTAGCTTAGATTATTAGGAAGAAATTCTTCCCAGTGAGGGTGGTGAGATACTGGAACATGTTGCTTAGGGAGAATGTGGATGCCCCAACCCTGGCAGGACTCAAGACCAGCCTGGATAAGGCCTTCAGCAACCTGGAGATGTGGCCACAAAAATCCCCTACATCATTACAAGCTGGGGACAGTGTGGCTGGACAGTGTTCAGGCAGAAAGGGATCTGGGGATGCTGGTTCACAGCCGGCTGAACATGAGCCAACAATGTGCCTTGGTGGCCAAGAAGGCCAATGGCATCCTGGCCTGGATGAGGAATTGTATGGCCAGCAGGAGCAGGGAGGTCATTCTTCCCCTGCACTTGGCACTGGTGAGGCCACACCTGGAGTGCTGTGCCCAGCTCTGGCCCCTCGGTTTGGGAAGGATGTTGAGATGCTGGAGCGCGTCCAGAGGAGGCAACAAGGCTGGCAAGGGGCTTGGAACACAGACCCTGTGAGGAACATTTGAAGGAACTGGGGTTGTTTAACCTGGAGAAGAGGAGGCTTAGAGGTGACCTTATTGCTCTCTACAACTTCCTGAAGGGAGGCTCTAGACAGGTGGGGTCGATCTCTTCCACCAGGCAGCAACTGACAAAACTAGAGGACAGTCTCAAGCTGTGTCAGGGAAGGCATAGGCTGGAGATTCTGTGATTCTGTGAGATGTCCCTACCCATGGGACATGACCTTTAAGGTCCCTTCCAACCCTTAACCTTCCATGACTCCATGAAAAGCACATGCTAGGATGCCCACCACTGCCCCAGCCCCCGTGAGCAGCAGGCAGCCCCAATCCCCGGTCACCCCGCGTTCCTGCCGTGACACTGCCCTCCCTTCTCACACCACTCTGTTCTGTTGCAGCTGCAGATGCCTTGTCCTTTGCTTGAAGCTCCTAGCAGGCTGCTAGCAGCATGGCCAGGCGGGCCCAGGACGTCGAGCTAGACCGGCTGGTGCATGACAAGCCCCGGGCTGGCAGGGTCCCCTCCCTGTCCCCTGCTGGCCACGGGGCTCTAGAGCAGCTCCCCAATGTCCCCAGCTACCGAGCCCCCGCTGCCACCCCCGTCCTTGCCGCCAGCAAGCCAAAGGCTGGAGTTGTCAACCCCAATTTTTGCACTGAGGAGCAATCCCCACTAGGTATTAGAGATGTTGGCTTTGATGCCTTGTGTAGTTAGACGGGGGGGATTCCTGGAGTAGTTTGCCTTTTTGGTTGCTTTCTGGCGGAGGGGAGAATTCAGAAAAATAAAAGCACGCTTCATGTTGCAGCACAGAGGCTGGGGAACAAAATCCATGTGTTTGTCTGCTTCTGCCTCATCACTATGTGCCTTTTTAGCTGAGCATAGAGAGTGTTTGCAAATGCTGTGTGTTTAGAGCTGCTGAGAAAAGCAGGACCTGCAGGCAGAGGGTGCAATATCACCACACAGAGTTTTCTCTCCAGCATTTGCACAGCCTGCTCATGCTAAGAGGAGAGGAAGGTGGAGGTTTGCTGTTCATGGCTTTCTGCCTTTTCTGCAGCTTTGCTTTGCTTTGTTTTTCACCAGCAAGCTGAATTCTGCCGTTTTTCCTTACATGCAACAGGATTTTAACTTTGCCACCCAAACAGGCCTTTTCTCAGGCATTTAATCAAGCCAGACTCTGATCCACTAGCTTCACAGCAGTGTGAAGCTGGAGGAGGTGCATGGGGTCTCTCAGATGTGTGAAAACCTCCCACAGAAGAAATCCTGCAGGAATTAATTTTATTTTGTTAAATAGCTAAGAAAGACATCACACTTCACAGTCAAGTGATTGTGGGGTCTGGCGAAGGTAGCCCCCAGTGCCATTTCTCCTTTGGAAAACTGGCATCTTTCTTTACCCACTACAAACATCCAACCTTCCTGCTTCTGACCTTGCCTGTGGCAAGAAGCAATTATTACCTCTGCAGAAGAAAGAAGCCATAAATGCTTATTTAAATAGTGCCTTATTCTGCATGAAAAGCAAACACTGTGTGGTTCAAACCTGTCACAATCCATGTGCTTACATTCAGAAGGACCAGGAATATCTCCACACCCTGGGAGGCAGGTTTGCTCCTGGAAATCCTGGGTTCCTGCCCAGGACCTGCAGCTGGGAATCCTAATCTCCATGATTTTCCAAACCACGGGAACCCAACACTCAGATGGAGTAGCTGCAATCACTGCAAGCTGGGCAAGCAGAAGGGCAGCAGATGGCAGTTCTTAGACTGTTAAAAACTGGGCAAAAAAAAAAAAAAAAAAAAAGAAAAAGAAAAATTAAGAAGTGCCCCAAATGCTTAGGAGAAAGGAGAGCCAGGCAAGAAGGGAAGGGAGGGAGAAGGAAGGAGAGTCCTTCCCACACACTGCAGAGCCTGGGGGCAGCTCTGGGGTCTGGGGAGCCATCCTGGCTGCAGGGGGGCCCTGAGCCCCCCTCACCTGCCATTATTGTCCTTCCCACGGAGCAGGTCATTCCCCCACCGTGGAGATCCAGGATGTGGACAGCCCAGGCCGTGCTGTGGAGATCCATGGCACCCACGGAGAGCTGCCTGCCGCCGGCGCTCCCAACCTGCTGGCGGTGCCCGGCGCTGCATCCCCCAGGTACAGCATACCGCAGGCACAGCTCTGCCCGGGGCAGCACCCGGGCAGCACCCCCAGGCACAGCATCCCACAGGTACAGCATCCCCCTGGTACAGCATCCCCCCAGATACAGCATACCCCAGGCACAGCCCTGCCCGGGGCAGCACCCCCAGGCACAGCATCCCACAGGTACAGCATCCCCCTGGTACAGCATCTCCCAGGGACAGCATGCCCCAGATATGGCTCTGTCAGGCACAGCATCCCCCCAGATGCAGCATCCCCCAGGCACAGCATCCCACAGGGACAGCATCCCCCAGGTGTGGCTCTGCCCAGCTCTCCCTGAGGCTGCCAGCACAGGAACATTTATTATCCACATTTCTCCATGTGGAGGTGCTCGTTCCCAGCAGATTTGGACAGTGCTGTGTGTGCAGCAGGTGTCACCCCAGTGCACAGCACAGGAGATGGCCAAAGCCTTGCCTCTTGTTTGCATTTTTAATTACATTTTGTTTAAAGCTTTTGTGGCCAGGGACAGCCCTGTCTGTGTCCTGCTGGAGATGGGCTTGATCCCCAGGCCATAGTCAAACCCCATTTGTCTGTTGTCCGCCTGTCTCTGTTCCCAGATTCAGAGCACAGAGGGTCTATGTGCTGGATATGAGCCTGCATCTTAAAAATAAACCATTTTCTTCTTGTATTTTTGCTGCAAGGATTTGCAGCATGTCCCCCTGGATTTGAGCTTTCAGAGGAGTGGTGGAAGCCCCATCCCAGAAAGTGTTCAAGGCCAGGTTGGATGGGGCTTGCAGCTACCTGTCCCTGCCCATGGCAGGGAGCTGGACTAAATGGTCTTTTAAGGTCCCTTCCAACCCAGATCATTCATCCTCTCTAATTCTATGCTTAGAGAGAGGGAGGATGAAAATTGAGCTTTAAAATTTAGGCTGGAGGAAGCTGATGGATTTTTTATGTTGTGGCACTAGGTTTTTTTTAGGCTCACTCTTGCAGAGGATTCAAAATGAAAGCTAAAGTGAGATTTTTTTTTTTTTCTGTGCTGAAAACCAGGTGCTGTAGTCATTCTCACTTCATAGTTTGGATCTTTTCATTTTTGCTCCTGGAGGAGAAAAAAAAAATGGCAAAAATGTCCACAATCCAGTCTGAACAGCTGTTTATACTGGGACAGCAGAGCCCAAGGCTTCATGTAAAATACCTGCAGTGAAAACCCTGACAGCATTAAACATATTTGCAGTTACATGTGTGAGCATATAAACCCTTCTGCTGGGTCTCCAGGGGGTGTCTCAAAACAACACTGGGTATTTTTAAAAGCAAGGAACTCCTGTTCTCCTACATAAAGAAGTAAAAATTAATTATTGTGAGCCAGAAGGAAGATGCTCATGTCCTGCTGGTGTTTCCAGAGGAAGAAGACATAACTCTGCACAGAGCAGTCACCCAGTATCTCTAAATCCCTCCTAATGGCCACAGGCAGGAGTTATTTCCTACATGGCTCTGTGAAGGATTGGAGTGAACAATGTTTAAACAGAATCATAAAAGACTTATTGCAAACGAGCCACACACCTGAGTGGAGCCTGCAGACAAGCTCCTGCAGACACTGCCAGGACTCCCTGGCTGATGCCACGTGGGCAGGGACCCTGTGCATCCCACATGTTCCAGGGCCTCTGGCCTCTGCCTGCAGCATTCTGAGGGCACCCAAACCTGAGCAAGGCTCAGGCTGTGGCACCCTCCACCCCAGCTGGCTGCTCCCTGAGGCTGTGCCTGCTGCAGGGCGCCCTTACACAGCAAGGGGCTGCCAGTGCTGGCATCTGGGCTTGCCCAGGGGTGAGGACAGGCAGTGTGGTGCCCTGAGGGGACAGAGGCAGGGGAAGGGCAGCTGGAGACTGCTGGGAAGCAGTGGATGTTGTCCTAACACCAGTATGGACTTTGGCATGACTATTTCTCCAAACTGATGTTTGGGAACCCCTCCATGCCCATTTGGGAGTACTTTGAAAGGGGGAGTTGTGGTTCTTCTCCACCCCTGCACTGGGCTCTTGGGAAATGAAGGTTCATTAGTCTTGCTGACCTGCTCCACCTCCCAGCAGGACACACCTGGGAGCAGCAAGGCTGAAGGTGATGGGCTCACAGCATTTGAATCCCATTTGACTCCCATTTCTTTGGGAGATTTGTGATGGCAGGATGACCTCCCTCAGCATCCTGCTCTCTCCTGCTCCACACACAGCACTGAGACATTTTGTGCCATGGCCAGTGGGATCAGCAGTTGTGGTGGCTGGAGACAATTTCTTCATCACAGCTGAAGTTCTGGGCTTGGCTGCAGGTTTGCAAACCAGTCTAGATTTTTTCCTATCCAGCTTCCCTTCTGACACCTTTCTTGCCCACATGTAAGGAAGTCACCTGAGAAACCCATCTGTGCCAAAAGGAGCCCCCAGCTGTGTTAGGACACAAGCTCTGGGTATGCTGGCATTGCACTTTCCTTGCCTGCCCCTTGAAGTGCGGTGATGTGGAGCTGTGGCCCTGGGGGCAAGCACAGGATGATGCCTGCCCTCCATGAGTCTTGCCAGGTACCCAAATTGAGTTGCAAAATGGGTCAGGTGACTGCATGTCCATGGAGCCAAAGGCTTGTTGGTGCTCAGGGAGAAACAGGGCTTTAGCAGGAAAGGAGATGGGGGGGTTCACTCCCAACTACTCCAGGCAATGTCAAAAATTAGGGGAAACTGACCCTAGCAGGAGAAGGGGGAATGGAAAACAGGTCACTCCTGGGATGAGAAGGAGGGAGAGGAGCCAAGCCAACCCTTGGTCTCTGTTTGTGTCTGCAGGAGGGAGCGACTGCTCCCAGAGGATGCTCTGGACACGGGGCTGGTGAGCCAATCCCCCAGCCGAGGGCTGGGCTGGGACCAGGAGCAGAGGAAAAGGTAAGAAATAGACCCAGGGACTCCAGATCAGCCAGGGGTTCACATCCTGGGGTTCACATCCTGGGGCTTGGGTGGAAATAGCAAACATCCCAAATGTCCTTTAGGATACCAAAGGGAGAGGGAGTCATACCAGTTTGTGTTGTTCTCAGTGCACAATACCCAAAGAAACCACAGATAAATCCTAATTCAGATGCTGTAGGTTAAAGAACAGGTCACAACTGGGTCATGGCTCAAGGCCAGGTTGGATGGGGCTGGGAGCAACCTAGTCTAGTGGAAGGTGTCCCTGCCCATGGCAGAGAGGCTGGAATGAGATGAACTTTAAGGTCCCTTCTAACCCAAGCCATTCCAGGTTTATATGACCCCAAGAACCTGCCCTGGCCTTTCCCACCCACCTGAAATGCCCCTGGTGTCCCCACAGCCTGCCCGAGCGCATCGGCTCGGCCTCGAGCCTGAGCAGCGCCGTCATCAACACCCGGCTCCAGGAGCTGGTGAGGCTCTTCAAAGAGAGGACTGAGAAGGTGAAGGAGAAGCTGATTGACTCTGATGTCACCTCAGATGATGACAGCCCTGTGGCATGTGAGTTCAGGTGGGGCTGGGAGTGTTTCTCTGGTGGATTCCCATACACGCTGAGTTTTCTGGGAGGCAGCTGTTTTATTAACAGTTTAAAGACCTTAAGAAAAATTGCAGTAAGAAGATTTTTATGCCATTTGAAATAACTGTGTGGTCTCTCCCAGCTCCCACCAAGCCAGCACCTGCAGCAGCAGCGGTGCCTGCCCCAGGAGGGGAGCTGGAGGGGGACAAACTTTTGGGGGATGACCACTACTGTGAGATGCTGTGCTGCACGTTCAAGCACCGGCCCTGGCTGGACCACCTGAAAAGCTACCAGTTACCCAGCAGCATTGACCCCCTCACCAGTGAGTGATGGAGCACAGCCTGGGCTGGGGGGCACGCTGGTGGGGCTGGGGGAGACAGGGTGATGAGATGGGGAGGAAAACTGAACAAGAAGCAACTTAGTTTTCACTAAAGCACAGAATTTTAAATTCCTCTGCAAGGCACAGGCTCCCTTAAATACTTCCAGCTGTGGGTATCAGGAGCAGGACTGGGCATTCTGCTTTCCCTGTGGTGTGGATACCCTCCCAAAAAATTAAAATCTCAAAAGAAGATTCCACTGCCTTGTGGCCACCCCACAGAAGCCCAGCTCTTTCCTTAGTCTTTCATATTCCTCAGTCCTTTGGAAGCCTCTGGGCTCAGGCAGCCAGCCACCAGTTCAGCATGGCTGGAGGGGAAAAAGAGAAACAGGGAAGTTTGAGTTGTGGGAGCAGAGCAAAAGCAAATATAGCTGAATGAGCAAAGTTAGAAGAAGCTTTCTAGGTGTGTTCTGTGACCAGAGGTGTTCACTCTGTGCTAGAGCCCAGCTGCAATCAAACACTGTCACCCAGAGGCTTCCTGCAGGTTTTCCTGTTGTGCTGAGGGCAGGTCAGGGGATGGAAATCCCTCTGTGTAGAGGATTCCCAGAGGAGGGATGTGTGCCAGCTGATGGTGGTGCTGTTCCCTGTGTGCAGATCTGATGTATGTGCTGTGGCTGTTCTTCGTGGTCATGGCCTGGAACTGGAACTGCTGGCTGATCCCTGTCCGCTGGGCCTTCCCCTACCAGACTGCAGCCAACATCCACTACTGGCTGCTGGTGGATTACCTCTGTGACCTCATTTATCTGCTGGACATCCTCATCTTCCAGACCCGGCTGCAGTTCGTGCAGGGGGGAGACATCATTGTGAGTGGCAGGGCACTGCATCCCAGCGCTGGGGACCAGCTGGGGCACCTCCCATCCCCGTCACCCTGAGGGACACGGCTGCTGCTGGCCTCTGGACTGAGCTCTCTCACCTTGGCCATGGCCATCAGCGCTCTGTCCACTCCCAGAGACCACTGACTGCATAAGCCAACAGTCTTTTTTCCCATTAAAATCATCAGTTTTCCCATTTTTCCCTACAAAATCAGTATCATCCTCTCCAGTACTGCGTGCCCTTCCTGCTGCTGGGTAAGGATGCCTGCAGGGTGCTGCTCCATGGGGTGATTCTGCCCATGGTGAGGTGCTCATTGACTGGCCCTGGCACAGCCGTGTGGTGCCAGCCTTGGGCATGGGTGTAACAAACTCTGGGGTTGATTTTCAGGAGCACACCAGGCAGGATGCATTAGCAATGGCAATCTGAACACACAGATACAGGCCTGAGATAAGGGAAGCCCTTGATTTCATCTCCATATTCAATTAAACAAACTGAAAAATCACACCTTGAGGGTACAGCCTTCCCATGCCCATGCAGATGCTCAGGCAGGCAGTTTCCCCTGCAAATGCTGATTTCTGTGGTGCTGGCACTGTGATGCTTTTCCTGGGATGCAAAATCAACACAGGATGTCCCAAGGTAGGATGGGAAGATGGCATACAGCCAGGATTTCTCTGCTTGCTCTTCTCCCCTTTCCAGGCACAAAGGGAGCATCTTCCCTGTTGTGGTGCAGAGGAGGAAAGCCAGGCATGACCACATTGGCCCTAGCTTTCCTTTCTCTAAGCAATAATCAATATTCCTCTCTCTCTCTCTTTCTCTCTCCCCTTCCTGCTCCCCACCAGACTGACAAAAAGGCCATGAAAGAGAATTACTTGCGATCACAACGCTTCAAGGTTTGTCAGCATTTTCTGTTTTCATCTGGATCTTCCATCTGCCCTGTGGGTTCAGCCCCACCCCAGGGCTCCTGCAGGTCCCCACAGAGGTTTCTCCCTGTGTGGATTTCAGATGGATGTGCTGTGCCTGCTGCCCCTGGATTTCTTCTACTTCAAAGTGGGTGTCAACCCCCTGCTGCGCTTCCCTCGCTGTCTGAAGGTGAGTCAGGGCTCACAAAATCAGGCAGAAGAGCAGCTGCAGTGGGCACAGAGTCCTCTGCTGCCTGGGGTGAGCTGTGGCTGCTCAGACTCATCTATGATGACAGCAGGATTATAAAATGGAGGGAAGTTTTGACCCAAAGGCTTTGCAGGGCTGTTGGTCACACACTTAATTTCAATCCTAAACTACTCACGTTTGACTAGAAGGGCACTTAAGGATGGAGACAAATCTACCTGTGGCAGTCCGCACTGCAGAGGGGCTGCAGGAGGGAAATGAGGGGCAGAGGGGGTTTATGGGGAGGTGATTCTCCCAGGGAAGCCTGGAACATGCAGCTCTCCTTCTCCTCCCAGTACATGGCCTTCTTCGAGTTCAACAGCCGCCTGGAGGCCATCCTGACCAAGGCATACATCTACAGGTGAGGGCCATGGGGGGGAGGATGGAATTGCTGTTTGCCTCTGGGGAGGAAGGTTCCCTTCATTCTGCACTTGCTCTGGGCCCCTGATTTCTTTCCCGGCTGTGCCTGGACTGACTGACATGGACTTTGGCTGATGTGGTGGGACATCAGGGTCCCAAAGCCTGCATGGGTAGGGTCACCTCTCTCCAACCCACAGGGACGGGGTGCTGGCAGTGAAGGAGAGCCATAATAAACTGCTTTTCTTGGCACTTCTGGAGCTGCAGGAGGCAGCAGCAGGGTTGGGGTACTCTGTCACCTGTAAGGTCACCACTTCAAGGCTCCTACTGATCCCAGGGAGGAACCTGACATCTTTCCCCAGCAGACATCACCTCCCTTCCTGCTCTCTCCTGGTTTTTCTGCAGAGTGATTCGGACCACTGCCTACTTGCTGTACAGCCTGCATGTGAACTCCTGCCTCTACTACTGGGCCTCAGCCTACGAAGGACTGGGCTCCACCACCTGGGTCTATGATGGGGAAGGAAACAGGTACAGGCCAGGGCTGGGGGTCTCACCTAGCACAGCCTGCTCGATGAGCTGGATCAACAAGGGAGGTGTTGGGATGCAGCTGGATTCATAAAAACCCCTGAAGCAGAGGGTTGGGAGTGCCAGGAGAAGATGTGGAGCCAGGGAGAGTGACAAGGACAGGAGGGATGGGATGTGCAGTAATGCACAGTGCTGAAAGTTGAGGCTGCAGCTGGGCAGAGGTGGAAAGCAGTTGCAGGTTGAAGGGGCTGAAGAAGCAGGATCCTGGTACTGGGAAGCAAAGGAATGCTCCCTGGCCAACCAGGAGACATTCAAACCATTAATTCTGTTCCTGTCTGTGTAGGCTGTTGCCAGGTTGGGATGGAGGAGTGACCTCTGTGTCCCTGTGCCAGGCCCCTCAGGCCAGCCAGGTGTGAGATGGGGACAGTGGCCAGCCCTTCCCCTCACCATGGCAATACCTGTGTTAATTGTGCCCTCTGCACTGCCACAGGCAGAGTCCTTGGCTCACAAGGTGAATGCCCACACCTGTGTAAATGTTGCTGTTAGAATTATTTTGTCTTCAGCTGGAAACAAAACACCCAAGGGAATGCCCAAGACCAGGGAATCAGGAATTTACTTGGCTTCTCCTAATTCCCATGCCAACAATTTGCTCACAAAGACATTTTTTCTCTTGATGATTTCTAAAAGTGTAAACGTGGCTGAAAATTTGTGGTTGGTTTATGGCAGAGGAGCAGAAAACAGGAGTAACCAGAGCTGAGCCTCCCAGGTGGAGGTTCCTGGAGGGACCACAGGTTCCCCTGCTCCTGTAGCATCTCCAGAAGCACCTGCAGGTGTGGTGGGGAGTCTGAAGCCCTTCAGTTTTTCCTTTTGTCATCCATAATTACTCTCAGCAGGCTCTGGCTTGCCATGGCCAGAGGCTGTGAGTTCAGTGCTGAGGGGTGAAACAGAAATGCCTTCAGAGCTGCCTCCTCTTCTCCTCTTCTCCTCCCAGCTATATCCGCTGTTACTACTGGGCAGTGAAAACCCTCATCACCATCGGGGGCCTGCCAGACCCCAAGACACTGTTTGAGATCGTCTTCCAGCTGCTGAACTACTTCACAGGGGTCTTTGCTTTCTCTGTCATGATAGGGCAGGTGAGTTGGAGTCAGGGGGGATTTACAGCCTCAGGTGGGGGTGGTTTTGGTGGATTTGATCCATAGGTTTGCTTCTCTGGGTTTGTTTTCCCCATGGGAAGACCTTCTCAGCATTGGTGCAAAACAAAAAGGATTTGGCAGATGCTGGTAGGGCTTGGTTTACATGCTTAACCTGCTGATGTGAAGTGAAAGCAACTTAAAATTCTCCTCCACCTCTTCCATTTAGATGAGAGACGTGGTTGGTGCTGCTACTGCAGGACAAACCTACTATAGGAGCTGCATGGACAGCACCATCAAATACATGAACTTCTACAGGATCCCCAGAGCAGTTCAGAACAGGGTGAAGACGTGGTACGAGTACACGTGGCACTCCCAAGGCATGCTAGGTGAGATCCAGCCACTCCAAGGGTGAACACTTGAATCTCATGTTTTATCTCATGTGGTTGCTCTGCAGAGCTGAAGTGTTACTGTCAAACAGTACTACAGTTTGGGGGTGGAGGGTGGCTTACTTTACTCTTCAGTCTAGGGGCCTGTTTGCCCACCTATGGAGTTTACAGACTGCCACTGGGTCACAGCACTGTGGTGACTTGGCATCACTCACAGCACACTGAGCCCAGTGTCCCACGTGCCCTGAAGAGGGGACAGTGACTGTCCATCACCAGCCAGAGTGTGTCCAGCAGCAGAGCCACCAGCTCACCCTACCAGTGAGCCATCAGGCAGGACCAGAACCTCTGTGTCACCCACCTGGACAGGAAAAATGCTGATTTGGGCTCGGTGGTCTGTTTCTGAGAGCCATCAGGGCAGGGATAATACAAAGGGTGATTTTCCAACACACTTCAGATTTAGACCTGCAGGTCGCTGGGTGGGCAGAGGCTGGAGGAGACCCTTCTGTGCGAGGTGGCTCCTGCCCTCTGCCACCACAATGTGGGCTGCTTCCCCACTGCCACATGAAGGACACACTCTCAGATCAAGTGCTGGAAACAGCCACTTTTCTGCTTTGTCTCACAGATGAGTCAGAGCTGCTGGTGCAGCTGCCAGACAAGATGAGGCTGGACATCGCCATCGATGTCAACTACAACATCGTGAGCAAAGTGGCCCTTTTCCAGGTACCCTCTGCAGCACAGCCCTGGCTGGCACGGCCTGCCACACCAGCACAGACTCATGCTGGCATGTTTTGGCTCTGTTTGGGCTCAGGGCTGTGACAGACAGATGATCTTTGACATGCTGAAGCGGCTCAGATCAGTGGTCTACCTGCCCAACGACTACGTGTGCAAGAAGGTAAGGGGATGCTTGGGAGTCACAGCCAGGCTGTGCAGGGCAGGAGGCCCATCACCCTGGTGAGCCACCTCACAGGGAGGGGATTTGGGGCAAAAACCCCCTTCGTGGCAGCTCTGAAGAGCCGTGGAGCAGGGGAAAGCTTGTGGGGGTCTTTGGGATGCTGAAGTGAGAATGCTCAGGAGGGAGCACCATCAAGATATTTTGGGAGCTTGGAGAGGGCAGTGTGGTCATGGGGATTTCCAGCAAGGTGCTGCTCGGGGCAGCCATGAGTTCTCCCTGTTTCTGGGCATCCCAGGCAGCTCTCCCCTTCCCTGCAGGGAGAAATAGGCCGTGAGATGTACATCATCCAGGCGGGGCAAGTGCAGGTGCTGGGGGGACCCGACGGCAAATCCGTGCTGGTGACACTGAAAGCTGGATCTGTCTTTGGGGAAATCAGGTGAGAGAAGCATTTTCAGGAAGCTGGGGAAATACAGCTTGTGGCTGAGGAGGGTGGGGAGTGGAAGGATCAGCAGCATCCCAATTAATCTTTGTGACTGAGAGGCACAAACGCTGGGCAGCAGCTCAGACACAAATTATAGCTTTCCTGCTGGTTTTGTCATCATATTGTCTTCTGCCTGAGGAGCTGGTGATGGTAAACAGAGGAATATGGATGGAGGAATGGGAAAATTGATCAGAAAAGGTGTTTCACAAATACAGTCTCCCAGTCATTAATCCAGCCCTTTCACAGGAATGAAAAGCCCTGTACCAGTCGGTAACACAGCAATACTGCTGCCTCCCCACAGCCCAGCAGACACTAGACTGGTGTAAAATGCACTATTTTGCCCTTCAAACCTGCAAATAATTTTCATATATTACTATATATACTATAGAGTACTATAATTAGTACTATAGTATACTATAGTATACTATAGTATACTATAACAGTATACTATACTATTCTACTATAGTACAGTAGAATATATAGTATATATTGTTCAAAAACTGGGCATGATAAAATCCACCAGGAGTGAAAATTAAACTCTGAGTCCCCTGAAAGAGAGAGGTGCAGACGGGTAAAGATTTGCAGTTCTGAGCCTGTGAACAGAGGTGTTGATGTCCTGCATTGTCTCTCCCAGCCTGCTGGCAGCAGGAGGGGGAAATCGCCGGACAGCAAACGTCGTGGCCCACGGCTTCGCCAACCTTTTCATTTTGGAGAAGAAAGACTTGAACGAGATTTTGGTGCATTACCCGGAGTCGCAGAAGCTGCTGCGTAAGAAAGCCAAGTGCGTGCTGGGCTGCTGCTTCCCAGCCTGCGGGGGTTTAGAAAGAGCGGAGCCTGGCTCCCAGGGGTGTTTTCCCCCTGTGGAAGCCCTGGGAAAGCTCCTGTGCCGGCTCCCGGCCGGGCTGCAGCCGCTGGCCCTCGGCAGAGGGCACCCGGCCCCCGGCTCCGGCTGCCAAAATTCGGCTCTCGCACTGGGTGGAGCTGGGCAAGGAGCGTGGTCCAAGTGCCTTCGCTTAAAAATCTGTGTAAATATTCGGTTTAGTTTTAAGCATCGCTTAGATTTGTTGTTCTGTCCTCCCTGAGACGCACAAAGCTCCTTGTGCTTTTAACGCCTGGTACCCAGCTAACAGACTGGACTGACATCACCTGCCCCGGACTGACACCACCTCTCCCTTTCCCTGCTGCAGGAAAATGCTGAGAAGCAACAACAAACCCAAAGATGAGAAAGGAGGCCCCGGAGATGCCCTGGTCATCCCCCCGAGGGCTGAGACCCCCAAGCTGTTCAGGGCTGCCCTGGCTGCCTCGGGGAGGATGGGGGGCAAGGAGCCCCTGGGGCGGCTCCGCTGGAGGCTGAAGGAGCTGCAGGCGATGCAGGAGGCGCAGGTCAGCACGGGCAGCGCACAGATTCGACTTTGCTTCCTTAGGCGCCGAAAGTGCTCTCCCCACCAGCTCTGCAGGGGTTAGCATGCCTTAAAGGACCGAGCTCAGCATGTTGGGGTCTGTCAAAGCGTGGGCAGACGGGAAGGGGTGACCCAGCATCTTGCACAGGTCTGGGGGAATGCCAGTGTCCTATAGGAATTTGGGGTGACCCAGCATCTTGCATAGGTCTGGGGGAATGCCAGTGTCCTATAGGAATTTGGGGTGACCCAGCATCTTGCATAGGTCTGGGGGAATGCCAGTGTCCTATAGGAATTTGGGGTGACCCAGCATCTTGCACAGGTCTGGGGGAATGCCAGTGTCCCACAGGAATTTGGGGTGACCCAGCATCTTGCACAGGTCTGGGGGAATGCCAGTGTCCCACAGGAATTTGTTTTGCTGTACAAAAGGGAAATACGTTAATTTTTTGCCTGCCTGTGCTAAGCCTGAGTTCAATTTCTAGCTAGGCTGTAGCCACAGATGAATGAATGTCTCTTCTATCCTGCAGACAGGATAATTAATAATAATTAATAATTATGATTAATAATTAATCAACGTATTAATCAGTTAATCAAGGTAATGGTAGGGGCACCCACAGCCCAGGTGATGTTCCAAATCTTTCCCCAGGTGGCCAGGACAGAGGTCCCCACAGCAGGCAATGCCATCCTGCCACCTCTGCAGGAACCCTCTTGCTTTTTGCCATGAGCAGCTGAAAAGGAAAATGGCCCTGTGGTTTTTTTCCCCTTTTTTTGTTTCAGCTGTCTCAGCTACACTTGTAAGGAAAGTTTTGTCTCTGTGCAGGGCCTGTTGTTACTATTCTCAGCGTGGAACTAGGCACACTTATCACATCTGGATGTGCAGAGGGAGGGGAAGGAGGAGCTGGTAGGGAGTGCAGTGACCTTGAGGCTGGGTAAACACCAGGCTGATGCCAAGCATTGCTGCATTTCTGCAGTCCTTCAGAGGACGAGAGGCTTCAAACAATGTTGTGTTTAACATTAATCCATAACCAGCTAACAGCAGCAGTGAGCAGTGGCACTGAGGGCTCTGAATGAGGCAAAACAAGGGAACTAACTGGGAACTAACCCCTCTAGTGGGTGAGCAGGACCCTGCTGATATCCCTCTCCTTGGCACATCCCTGGGGCAGGCTTCTAAGGCTCCTCTCCAAAGGAGGACAGGGCAGGCTGGGACTGCTCCCTCACAGCAGCACTAGTGCCAGGTTTGGCCCCTCCAGAAGCTTCAGGAGCAAACCAAGAGTTAGTGCAGATGTGGGAGAGCTCTGCTGTGCTCCTGTCTCTGTGCTTCTCAAGACATGCAGGATATAATCCAGCAGCCCCTCCTGCAGGGAGCATCTCTGGCCTCAAGCTGACATCCCACTGCAGAGACCCTGTGGTGGAACCACAGAACTCCTGTCCAGCTTTGCCATGTCAGGTATAGTGGGCAAGGATCTCCTAGGGTTGTTTTTGCCTCTTTTTTTAACTTTTTATTGCAGGGTTCCAGTGTCAGCCCAACCCCACCAAAATCACCAGTGCACCAGAGATCGCCTGTCACATCCCACAGAGCACAAACCCGCCTGGGAGGAGAAATATCCTCAGAATCTTCTGATCATTCAGTCACCATTCGTGTGATTTCCACAGCAAAAGAAGATGAGGAAATCCTTGCTGCTGAGATTTCAGAGAAAGATGAAAAAAATGAAGAGCCATGAAACAGCAGCAGGTCCCAGGGCAGGCGTAGGAGTCAGACAAATGCCTGGGCTAGCAGATTTTTGTTGTTAATGATTTCCATGCAGTGGCTGTAGGTTTGCTATGTGCTGTGGGTAGGATCTGCCTCTCTCTTCTGCCCAGACCCTCAATCACTGCTGATAAAACCCTCTGCCATTTGACCCAGAACCATATAAGGTTCCTCCACTCTGCAGATCCATTGAGCACCTTTATGAATTTCCCACTAAATCTCAGGTCAGCCCTCTTGCTTTGAAATCTGGCCTTGTGGAGGGAGAGCTATGGAAAAATTGCTTTTTATGGCTCTGGATGGTTAATGAGTGTTCAGACAAAGCATGAAGAGTTATTCACCTCTGACAGCTGAGTCACCACTTGGCTAGAAACAACCAAGGAAAAAAAACAACAAGGTTTCTCTGTTGGGCTCAAGGTTGACAGCAGCAGTGGGGAGTGATTCATCTGAAAAGGATGTGGACTATGCTCACAGGCCAAGCTTGATTTGCTCACAAATCAAGCTGTGATGAGAATGCCAAGCTCTGTCCCCAAGTGCACAGGCTGCAAGATGCTTGAGGGTCCCCTCATGGTGCCAAGACCCCCTTGGCTTTGCCACTGGGAAGAATCCTTGCCAGCTGTCCACCCTGGGAAGGTGGTGGACTCTCCATTCCTGGGGGAGATTTGATGGGCATCTTCCAAGGATGGAGAAGCACAGTCCTGGATGAGATGTTCCTGGAGTTCTTTTCCAGACTTGGGATTTTTCTGTGCTGCCACTGCTGGGAGGGATAAGCAGAGAGCAGGAAGGGAGAAGCTGAGCTGGTTCCCAGCTGGGAGGGGAAAGAGAAGTGCAGTGAGTGCTCTCCTCTCCCAGACAGTGTTTCAGAGTCAGCTCAGAGCCTGCAATGTGCCAACAAGGGTGCATGAGCATGCAGGTGCTCCCCTGCACTCATTGCTGGGCCTCAGTGGCATCCCCACTTCCAGCAGGCAATTCCCAGCCCTTCAGCCACTTCAGGCTGGCTCTTGGCCACATCTCCCACGGAGAGAGAAGCCACTCTGGTACTGCTGGTCACTGAAGCCATGAAGTCACTCTCCCAGCTGTGCTGGGAGCGGGTGCTGGAGGGGAAGGCAAACATGGCTCAAGGTGTCCCGTCTTCTTCCAGCACCACCAGCTCCTTCCTCATCCTCCTCAAAGCCAGCACCCAGCAAAGCAAGCTGCAGGTGAGCTGAGGTGGTGAGAAGCAGTGCATGAGGTGGTGCTGGATGAGGTTTGCAGATCCTCCCCAAGTTTTTGGCTGCCCAAATTCCCACAGCACCACTGGCTGCATCGAGAGGAGCCGCTTTCCATCCTCTGGAGGAGAAGTTGGGGCAGGTTTTGCTGCAGGGAGCAGCCCTGTCACCGTGGCCAAGGGACTTGCCAGGTGTTCAGCAAATGCAGTGAGCAGTGCTGCAGGTTCCACAGGTCTGGCTGTGACACAGAGAAGGGTGGCAGTGCTGGTGTCACCCCCGGGTGATCCCTCTTCCCATCAGCAGCCCAGGGCTGACCTTCACCTCCTTTGGGATCTTCTTTTGTTGCTTTTTCCCCCTCTCTTGCAAAATGTATGGGTTTCTGTGGCAAAACAAAAAAAAAAAAAAAAAAAAAAAAAAAAAAAAAAAAAGCCAGAATAGACATTAGCATTAGTTAATAATGTCTTGCTTTCTTTTTAAACAAATATAATGAGCTCCACTATACTGCAAGAGGGTCTGAAGCCATCATTGCAGGGGAGAGCCTGCACTCTCCCAAACCTCCCCAAATGCTTCTCATCCTCAGTCATTTGCAAGTGGTTTCCTGCCAGGTAGAAGATTTTAGTAGGGAGTGCAAAGTTGGGTTTTTTTTTCACTCTTTAAATATTTATATAATCAAACCAGGAAACGTGCAAGAATTAAACTGGGGTTCTGATTTACTTCTATGATTTAATATTCTTTAGAAGAAGCATTTAAATAAATAATGGGCTGTAATTGCTCTCATAATTCACTGTATCTACAATAAACACCATGTAGATTACCATTTACTTGGTGTGGATTTATTTCAACATTCCAGCTGTTTTTCAACTTCTTGCTCACTCATGCACTGACAGAGCCAGAAAATCCTCACATGCAGTTCAGATTTCTCAATAAATAATTGAGAGGCTCAGAGGTCACATAATACTGGTAGTAGAATTGTAATGTGCCAATCACCATTAGGAGGGGAAAAAAAACTTTCTTAAATATAAAAGATTGCTTGAAGATCTTAGTTTTCAACAGGCAGCATGAGGTGGTGATGGATACACAACTGGTAATTCTGGAAATTATCCTTCTCTGTGATCTGTTTATGGCTTTAGTTCTTTGGAGAGATTATTCTCCAGGTAATAATTAAGGTCAAGGTAGGGCTAGACTTGCAGGCTGGGCTGGGGAGTTGAGCTCAGGTCTGTTTGCTCTGCAGGACTATTTAGAGATGACAGAGGACAGAGACTTGAGTGCCTCTTGTTTTGGGGGTTGCCATGGCTTGGCTTTCTTCTGTTGAACTCTCAAATTCCATTCTTTTTCCAGTTTTGCTGTATTTGCAATGGGCTCCCTCTGCACTGGTTCCAGTAAATACCTTGCAGAGGGCACTCATCACTTGGTGTTCCTTCCACTGCCCTTGGAACATTCCTGATGGATTTGGTAACACTCCATGTACCTTCACTGCATTTCTCATCAGCTTTTCTCACTCCTCTTGATGTCCTTAACTCTTGGGTCGATCTGATATGAGATCCTCTCTTGTATTAATGCAGTACTTGGGGAATCTTGACAGGCAGCTGCTTATTGCCATGGAAACCAGGTCTTCTTGCAGTGATATTTTAGCTGCTGCTGCTTTTTAGTGAAATAAGTGGAATAGAGAAGTGCTGGAGGAAGAAGCAGAGCTTGTCTTTGGAGCTGTAGGAACGTGGAAGGTTTTGCCTCACTGTCACCAGTGGCACCTTTACTGGAGGCTTTATATATACTGTTTATATTTTTATATATGTATTTTCTTTATACTGGGGTTTTATTCATATTCCTTGTGGCCTGTGTCTTTCAGAGAACTGATGCTAATTCGATGTTCTGTAGGAAGTTAGAGAAGACAAATATCTCCCATTAGAAAAATCAGCTGACAGAAGGAATAGTACAACCCACCACAGACATCTGAGAGTGGAGGAAGTTATTTTGCCCTGGACAGAAACAGGGCAGGTAGCTTCTCTGTATTTATAGCCAGAGAAATCTTTTAAAAAGATTAAGTGCAATTGCAGGTTAATCACTGATAAGGTTGTAACGAAAGTAAAAGCAAATAAGCAGGTTTGGGGATTAGACTCAGGTCCAGAAAGAAATTGCAGGATAAATGGAAAGCCCAGTTAAATGGTGTTTAATTAGAAAGCTTGAAATAAAATTAAACCCTTCAACCTTGAAACCTGCAGACCTTAGCCAGCAGGACACACTCCTAGTTCTGGGAACAGTCTGTAACCCACTTTTTCTGTCTATATATATTTTTTTCCTTTGTGTAGCTCTGCTTTGAGTGGCACTTGCATATAAATCTGTCTGAATCCCTTTTACCTTCCCCTAAAATGGAGCTAATACAAGTCTGGTTTTCTGTGCTGTGAGCACACAGCTCCTTTTCAGTGCAGTAATGGTCCCACTGGAGTTAACACCCTGAAAAAACACCAGACCACCTTTTGGAGAGGGGCCACACTGAGGTTCACAACCAAGGGATGCCCATGACAGCTCTTGTTAGCAGCAGCTCAGGCTGAGCTCAGGCTTAGTGTCCTTTTCCTTTCTCATTCTTTCCTCATTTACCTGTTCTGGTTTTGGGATGAAACTTGCCCACTTTGGTTCATGCCCTAGGGTGAATGTCTGAGGGGGATCTGTGCAGTGTCAGTGAGCTGCGTTTGATCATCTGAAGAACTGAAACCTAGAAACCTTTGTTTTTCATGCAGTTTTCTCTGCTTTTACAAGTCCCTCGAGGCATGAGAAGAGCTGGAAGTCAGTTAAAGACTCAAAATTGTTTTCTTGGATAAACTGGAAGAAATTGGAGAAGAAATGTAAACAACTGGGGAAGTGAGATAAATCCGGTTGTGGGGATGCCAGGGAGCACCCCTGCCAGCTCTGGGCTGTGACATCCTGGGGACATCCAGCGTGGCCCAAATTGCCTCACACGGTTTGCAGATGCTCGTTTTGCACACCTGAGCTCAGCGGGAGGATCACTGCTCCCTTCCAGCTCTGTTTTCCAGCAGTGGTGGGGAGGGCTGGCTCTGCCTCCCGCAGTGGCACTGCTGCTGGGGGAGCACCCAGAGCATCCGGGAGCACCCGTGGATGATCTGGATGTGTCCCAGCCTGAGCATCACGTGGATGGTCCGAATTTGCCCCACGGTGAGCATCACACGAGCTGCCCCACGATGCTCTGCCTTAGCAAGAGCCAGAGGAATGAGGACCAGCCGGACCAGTTACTCATTCTAGATAAGAGGCTCTTTTGTGCTGCAGAAATGCCAATATCACGTGCAAATCCCTCCGCTGCCATGGTTACTGGCCACGGCAGAGCCGCCGGCAGCGAGAGGAGCTGTGGCACTGACAGGGCTTCTGCTCTTCCCTTTATGGGGAAAGCCCACAAACCTGCACTCTGCCCCAAAAATGAAGGGAGGTGGCACTGACAGGGCTTCTGCTCTTCTTTTCACAGGGGAAACCCCACAAACCTGCACTCTGCCCAAAAATGAAGGGAGGTGGCACTGACAGGGCTTCTGCTCTTCCCTTTATGGGGGAAATCCCATACATCTGCACTCTGCCCCAAAAAGGAGGGGAGGTGGCACTGACAGGGCTTCTGCTCCCCCCTTTTATGGGGAAATCCCATAAATCTGCACTCTGCCCCAAAAAGGAGGGGAACTGTCATTTACAGGGCTTCTGCTCTTCTTTTCACAGGGGAAATCCCATAAACCTGCACTCTGCCCCAAAAAGGAGGGGAGGAGGCTGCAGGGAGCCCTGCCCACACCTGGCATCGAGGTGATCAGAACCTGTTGCCCATGGAGGCTCTGCCCTGCCACTGGGCTTTGCGCTCCGGGTTTTCTAAATTCCTCACTAATAGCCTGAGATATTACTAAAAAAATGAGAAAGCAGTGCTGCGGCTTGGGTGGGCAGAGATCAGCTATGCCCTATTTCCTGTTTTTCTGGCATTAGGAACAGCTTGACCTCTTGGCACTCTTGCTTTTTGCACTAATGCTCTTCTCATTAAAGTGCTTTCCTGAACACTAATTAGGGCGGTTTTCCTTTTGTAAATTAGCCTGATACGATCTGTGTGTCTTGGCAGACACCCTCGGAGCAGGAACCCAGGGCTTTGCGTTTGATCGCTGTTTATTTTGCAAATCTCCCCAGTTTCAATGTTCTTAACTGCCTTCTAGAAAGTGCTAGCAGGTGGAGATTAATGGGAGGGAAATGGGGCTTTCCAGCTGGCCTGCCTAGAGAAACAGGAGACTTTTTGGTGCTACAGGGGCCTTCCAGTTGCTGTGGGTTAATGGGGTGCTGTGGGTACACAGAAGCTCCTTCCCATCCCATCTTGGCATCCTTGTGCAATGGAGGAGCAGGGCTGCAAGGAGAGGCACTGCCTGAACCAACCTCTTAACAGGCAATTAAAAAAAAAAAGAAAATCAAATGAATGCATTCATTTTCAGCAGTTAAAGCAGTTCCTTGTGACCGTAGGAAATGCTCAGACCCAAGGAAGCCCAAACCCATCTGAAACTGGACGTCTGTGGGCACAGGGAAGTCCACCTGTCTGCCGTGCCCCCACATCGGTGGTGTCAGCAATTTGCTGGGACCAATGGTGCTCGGGAGGGGATGGACTTTAATCAGCTCTCATTTTCTTAATGCACTGGCAGATGGGAGCAGAGGGCACGGTGCTCTCTCTGGCCATGGATGGGACAGAGCCACAAGAGATGGGCTGAGGAACCCAGTGGGGAAGGCAAGGCTGGGTGCAGAAGCCATCCTCTGCCTCAGGGAGGCTGGATGAGGAGGGCATCCCTGGGCAGTGCCACCGTCCTGTCTCTGCTCCAGGACTGGGACCCTTCTGGGACCAGGCGCTGCTAGGGACCATCTTCACAGCAGCATTTACTGGTCCTTAATCGGGGAAGAGGAGAACTGCAGGGGGGCTGCACTCAGGGACCCCTGAGGCTGGGACAGAGTCAACGAAGCCCCTGATGAAAAGACAAGGATTTTTCAATGCTGGTGTGCCAGCCCTGTGGCACCACGGGTGGAAAAGCACAGGGAAGGATCCCACCCCAGGCAGCTGCTGCCAGCATCGGCCAGCCCGGCTCGCTCCTGGTGCCTGAGAGCGGTTTCCACAGACCATTCCCAGAGCTCAGCACCCCTTCCCAGGCTGTGCTGAGCCATGCACGCTCTGTGGGTGCTGGCAGGCCTGTCGGTGCAGGGCTGGAGCTGGGGCAGCAGCAGGAGGAGCAGGATGCAGGCTGTGGAGAGCATCCCTGCCCACGGCGAGGAGAGTGAGAGCCGCAGCCTCCAGGGCTTCTGCAGAGCCGTGGGCACCATCAGGAGACACACCTGGGGAGGAGGATGCTTCCAGAAAAAGTGCCCAGGACCAGGGCTGGCCTGGATGGCTCCACAGGTGAGAGCAGTGGCAGGGGCTGGGGGCAAGCAGGGCATAGTCTGTGTCAAAATCAAAGGCTGGGGATGAAAACCAGCACAATGCCTTTGGGTTGGAGTTGTTTTCATGAAACATCCCTGGGTGTTTGCACACAGGCTCTGTGTTTATTTTGCTTCCTAGGGGGTTAATTCAGCTGCACATTTTGTCTGGTGGGTTAAAGGTGAAGATAACTGAATAGAGATGCCTGAGCCCCAGAGAGCCCAGCTCCCACCTCAGCTGGATCCTGAGTGCCCTGACCATG